CATGATACACATCAAAGATTGGTGGAGAATCCCCATTTATGATTTGTTGCTTTTGGGAATCATTTGATGAGAACAATATTTCTACCTGGTCGTCCTTGGATAGAGTTACATAACACCCATTCCAATCATCATCTAGGTCGATGACATTGTGCACAGAACTCTTGACCATGAATCTGAGCCATTTTTCACCAACTTGGCCTCCGACTCAAGCTGCTCGCCGAAGAAACCCATACATGTTGGTCTCATAGCTGTGGACCTTATCTCGCCTATAGCATACTTATGCTGATCCCTCTCATGCATTAGTGAGGTCATTGATTTCTTTAGGTGGTCCACCTGTTTGGCCAACCGATCACACGTGAGAAAGCCACTGATTCCTTTAGGTTATTCACCTTTCCCACCATCCAGTCTAGGTCATGGGCACATACGTATGGCCACATCTGCCATGAGGACCTGCCACCGCGATCAACAAAACTCACGCCATTTACTCTGATACCAAATGGTGCAAAACCTACACATGGAAAAGAGATATCCGAGACCACGCCAACAACAACAACGCGTCAATTATTTGTAGGCACGGCTTTGGTCAGGTCCCAATCGACCCGGAACTAGACCCGACCCAGCTAGATTCCACATGGACCTAGACCCGGATCTAGAAATTAAGAATATATATTTTTTATATTTTATAATATGCATTTAGAATATTTTATACCCGGTCTTGTCCAAGCTAGACCCGGACCCGACATGGGTTGAATTCATGTGACTTGGACGACCTAGGCCAGGTTTGGGTCAACCCCGCTGGGTTGCTCGAACCGGATTGCCACCCTTACCATTGATCACACCAGTCAATCAAAGAGAGGAAAATTTTCTTGATCATTGTCAAGAAAGGGAATGGAACAAAGGACTTTCCAGCCCTAACCAAATTACTACTCCAAGTAAGGCTGCACCTTGCACAAAGTAGGGATTTTCTCTACTATACCAGAGTAAGAGGGAATTTTTTACAATTTTATTAATCGAAACAACATTAACTATTGCTACTATTACAACAATGTGAAATACATATGAACCCATTCAACAAGGACCAAAATACCCTAAAAATAGTAAAATGGCCAAACTACCCCTATACCTATTCCCTATAAAATTAAATTAGCTTTCACGCAACCTAATTTCCATGTTGCAATTCCCCAATCGTGCAACCAAATTCCCATGCATAAGGACTCCACATCATTGACTCTTTGACTAATGGGAACTCAAAATAACATTACTCAACATTGGCTTGTTGACTACATGGGGACTCTATAACACTCCATTCTACCCTTTGGCTTTAAACTAAAACTTAAAAAGAACTCCTTAATGACAAATTATAAAATGGTACTAAAAAATAAAACAATCCCAATACGTCCAACTTAACAAATACTATAATTTCAGACCCATCCCTATGTCAAATTCAAAAACATGAACTTCAGTCCAGCCAGTCATTGATGCAATTTGCATCAAAACCTCAAAATACTCCTTCTAAATGGGAGGGAAGAAGGAGAAGAGAGGTATGTGGCAAGAATGAGCTCCTTTACCAACACTAAGAATAAGCCTCAACTAAGTTAGAATGCTGGGGGGGGACGGGGGAGAGAGAGAGAGAGAGTGTGTCACACCCCAAGAATTTACAATACTAATATTCCTGAGATGTGACAGTCAAAACATATATACATCTCTTGATAGAACAAATTTACAGTGGCGAATTCTCACAAGGTAACAAAAGAAAGTTTAAGCACAACTACAATATCTTTCAAGGTTGATCTCGACGAACACTCAAAATGAAACCGCAGTTGTCCTGAAAAAATATTGTTTACCATAGTTTGATGAGTTTGGCTACTCAGTAAGTGATCATCATAA